TTCTTCGACACAGCCAGAGAAAGGACCCGTCTGAGCCCTCCCTCGCGCGCGGTCTCTCTCTCTCTCTCTCTCTACCGGGTAAGGAGGGACAGCGGAAGCTAACCACCCGCGCGTGCACGCACCCGCTGGTCCATGCGGGGTTTTGGACTTTCCGAAGAAGGGGTTGCCCCCTCGACGGCTTGGCTGTACTAGGGGCTGCCCAAGGCATTTCCCCTCCACAGCAGACCTAATTCGAACATAGAAACATCAGTGCACGAGTTGGAATATCTGCCGGGCGCACCGACTGGCCTCTCTCTCTCTCTCTCTCCCTCTCTGGCTCTTTATCTGATCTGTTGCTTGTTTCTCTACCTTGCCGAGCGGCATTCGTCGGTCGCCAGGCACCTTCTTCCGCATCGAAGACCAGCACCGTGCTGAATTGCCGGGCTAAGGAGGCCGTGGACTCGTCCTCGGACCAGTCCTCAGGAGACTCTCAAAGAGGCAGTGCCACGCACAGAGTGCAGAATCTCACGGCGACTGTCCTCGTCTCCGTTCTCCCCACCGACTACCACAACACACTGCCTTGTGCAAGTGGGGAAAGTCCTGATGCAGGCAACTGCTCAGCACGACAGGGACGGAAAGAAGATGATGTGGCCCTGACCGACCAGGCGCGGGAAGTCTCATTGCCACCGCCTGCCCCAAGGCCCCAAGCGTTCCAAGGAGCGACGGAGCTCCGAACCCTGGCAGTGGCCTGGCAGCCCATGCGGCCTTCAGCCATGTCCCCAATCTCATTGCCCTGAGGCCCATGGCAAGTACCTTGGACTGGGTGAACTTTGCCTTCGAACTTGAACGGACTCTGAGTGGGCAGCTTTGTTCTGGGCTGCGCTTTTGCACATGGTACACCTGCCACAGACACAAGAAGCCAAGGCGGAAGAGACTCGGTCCTCGAGATATCAGCACAACCTCCTCTAGACGCTTGCCCTGGCGTGCCTCCGCTGAAGAGAGTGAGGGCGCACCACCCATCACCTGAGCGCGAGCGGAAGTTCAGCGCCACATGGTCTGTGAAGCCATGTCCCTCCCGATCTCCTGATTTGAATCAGAGCTGCTAGAATCCTCTCTGCGTCCAGAGCCACGGCTGCCGCGGTCGTCCTGCCCGGGAGAAGACTTCCACGGCTACATATCGTCAACAGAAATAACAGAGCAGGCTGTCCTGGGAACGCCTAGCTGCGTGTCCAGCAGGACCCAATGGTCATTCCTGGCAGAACGCCGACTTTGCTGCATAGAAAACTTAGCGGACAAAAAAATCGCCAGGGCATCCCCTCGTTCAAGATCTCCACGCTGGCCAACATCCTGGAAGACACGAGTCGGCTTTGCAGAAGGCTCCGCGCGGCCTCATCTGAGCTTCAGGCTCTGCCCGACCAAACACATCATCACAGCCACCAACGGCCGCCAGCTTGCCACCGGCGATCGTCACCACCCTTTGCAGGGAACGCCGTGGGCTGCATTGCCAGACGCCCCAGAAGAAAAAGCGGAGAAGGGCAGTGCCTGGCCCCTGCACGGGCGATGTTCAGGTTGGGAGCTGCTCGCCACTGGTTGCATTGGGAGTCGTAGGCCTCACGGCAGAAACGCATTGGGCTACGGCGGCTACCGGCTACCACGCTCCACGCAAAGCTCCGGAAGCGCCCTCCCTCTCCCTGCGCCTCGCAGCTGCGCAAGGTCTCCATCAGCTCCTGGCAAGACTGCTATAAGGCTCACGCCAAAGGTCTCACTGTGCCGAAGCCATGAGTTGGCTACAAGTATAAGTAGCCTGTGCCGAAACAGGAAATCGTCTCCTCACCAATCAAAGAGCCTCCCAGCAGAGCGCAGCCCCCGACCTGAGAAAAAAAACAAAACTTCGGAAGCTCTGTCATGTCGAAGCTTTGGCAATATGGCTTTCTTACGAGGTCTGGGCAAGCCCGGAAGCAGAGCGCAACGTCTGGGGCTCCAGCCGCAATGGCGGAGGTGCCGAGCACAGAGCAGCCTGTCAAGTCTCGGCATTTCAAGAGGCATTCGCAGGTTGCAGGCCGCAGAATGCGTTTCGTGTAGCAGAAGTGTGTCAGCACGGAGCAAGGCAGGCGCGCCATGGCCCCACCGTGCTCGCAACAAGGCCTGGTAGCACAGACGCGCGAGAACGAGCGAACTGTCAAGATCCGGTCGCTGAGGTATCGGCTGTCCCGGTGTTGCGCCAGACCTGGCTTCTAGGATCGAAGACCTGCCGGGCGATGAGCATATGACTGCACAGCCCAAATCTGAATGTGCTGGAAGCATTTGAAACCACTCTCCACTAGCCTCGCAGCTGTCCAGCACGCCACGTACGATGCCTTGCTCATCGTAGCCTCGCTTCTCCGCACATACGGCGAAGATCGGCCGCAAACAAAAACATCGGATCGGGCACAGCCTCCACAGACCAGGAAGCAACCGTTGGGCAAGGGTGCTGCAGCACAACCTCACACGAGCCCAAGCAGAAGCATTTAGTATCTGAACCATGTGCTGCCATTCAAGCAACTGGCCTGCCCGTTTGGCAAGCATGGGCGGGCAGGTGACCCACCTTTCTAGGGCACCCATCGAGGTCCTGTGCTGTAGTTAAAGATGACAGTTGTTTTTGCATTGCACCTGCCATTCCATGAGTCGAACATCTCCACGACGTTGAGTGGCTCCTTCAAACCCACACGAGGCGGCGCATGATTGAATCTCCGTCGCAGCGTAGGCTGACGCAAGCTGAAGGCAGCTGCGGGCCTGATTGCTGTCCCTGCCGCCAATGACGTAGAGCTGGTCGGGGACTGGTCCTTTTCTGGTACAGGGGCTCCTACTCGTTCAAGAAATGAAGGAGGAAAAGAATCAAACGCAGGCTCAGCGTCCGTTGAAGCTAAGGTAGGGGGCGATCATCTGGCCGTAAATAAACCTCAAGCCGCCCCCCCATCCCGCGTTGGCTGTCACCACCGGCTGCATTTATTGCAGTTCATGCACTTGCCAGGGCCCACACGGTGGCAAAGGTGCTCTGGAAGAGCTACCCCTCTGGTCTTCTAAGGCCAAGAGGGCGAGCTTGGCCATTGTGCCTTCAGAACACCGGGCTGCACCTTCATAGCGTTCACCCTTCACTCTTGTGTACGAGCCTTGCTCCACCCATCGTCCTCCTGGCTGTGCCTGCGGCCTTCGTGGGCGAAACAGCACCCTATGAGATCACACCGCCATAGGGGCCATCTCTAATCCGCAGGCTTTCCAGCCCGCTGAGAATTCTGACCCAGCCCGAATGCCGTTCACGAAATCCCTCACTAACTAACATGAAGCGAGTGCGATCCGAATGACAAAGCAGAGACATCAGCATAAGAGAAAGCACAACACAAACGGCAGCGGCTCTGCAGCTTCATCAAGCTTTGGCTCGCGCCTCGTGCTTGTCGACCTTCTGGAAGCCGCCACGCGCGAAGCAAAGTCCCATGAAGGGCCCCATCTCACAGTCCGCTGCCTGGGCAGCGCGTCAGGGGCAGTGCTGCCTTAGTAAAGGGAACTAAAAAGCCCCTTCATGTCAAGCGTGCCTGGCACTAGTTCGCAGCTCCATTTGTGGCTGCGGCCTGTGCAGTTGTAGCCCAATGTGTCCCAAGAAGAGAGTGGTGAAGCGATTGGCCCCTGCCTCGGACCTCTCGAACTCCGTCGACTCCGGGGCGGGCTTGGGTGAATTTAGCCAGAGCGAGCCGGCTGCGGTGAACAACAGCTCTGTCAAGAGACAGGAGAAGCGCTCTCCCTGATGCTCTCTGACACTCGCCCCAAACTTCCGGGACCATGTGACATCCGCCACTCGATCTTTTGTGCTAAGGGCATCCACTGCCACGTCACAGTAAAGGCCAGTGACGGCAACTCCTGCCCACGGCCCCACTGTACTCCCCGCAGGATCGACCTAGACCATGAAGCTTTGCTCTGAAAGACGATCTGCTGCAGTGAACCTGTGACGGAAACAAGCGGCATGTCTGCCAACTGCGGGAGATGCGAATACACTCATGACTGCTTCACCGTCCCGGTCTGTGCTACTGCGCACGACTGCAATTTGCGGCGGACTTGACCAGGCACCGTCACTGCAACAGGTGTGCCGGCGTCGCCTACCGTTCTGCCGTGCAAACTTGTGCTTTTATGTATGTGCAGTTGTCCTTGATATTCCTGGATTCGCGAGTAGTAGTGGCCTTCGGATCTTGCTCAAGTTCTGGTGATGCAAGTTCAACTCCTCGATTTAATTGTGCTGTTGTGTACCTGTGACAGATTGCGAACAAATCTAACTGCGCCCAAGGGCGCTGGGCGAGCATTAACACAGAGGCGCGTCACACGCCGGGCGCGCCACTGGGCGGAAAACCATTCTGCTCAGCTGCTGCCTGGCCAGGCAAGCACCGTATCGCAAGAGACGAAAAAGTCCGTGAGGCGGCTATGGAAAACATGCCCCAGCTTCTGAAAAGGAACTGAATGTCCTCAGCAGTGAGCCTCTGCAAAGCCTGGCCAGGGGCCAAGGCCGTAATTACGAATTGGTTGAGTCGGAATGGCTGTGCAAGAGCCTGATTGGAGTTGCCCACGGTGCAATCAAACACCGTTTGCTTCTTCTCCTGGAGCTCGATGATTTTCTCCTCGATTGTGTTGGCCTCGGGGAGAACGTAGACCGAGCCGAAGCCAAGCCCAAAATGCAGAGTCGAGCGCCGTGCCGCAACGAAGCGAGTGGCCTTCACTGGCCGTGTCTGGCCGATGCGATGCGCTCCTGAATTCTCTAAGCCACCGAGGTGCCAAACGGAAAGAAGGTGAGACAAAAATCAAGGTGCGGGCGTTGAATGGCCTGGGCCTCCGCAGCGGGGTTCCACCTACCGTGCGAAGGGTTGACTGACTCGACCTGTCCTCTCCAAAGTGAAGCCCTTCTAACTCCAGGCCAGGGATGCCAAGGGTCCATCAGGAAGATGTGGTCCGCTGCTTGCAGGTTCAGCCCCTCTCCTCGGCAAAACCCTCGATGAAGAAGTTGTCTAATCATTCTTTTCGAGCAAGTATGCTTCAAGGGAAGCCCGTCTCTTGTACGTCCCTAACATCCCGACCTGCGAGACCAGGCATGAAACATGGACCACGGCTTGCCATGTGGTAGTGACGAAGTAGATGTCAGGATGCCAGCCTAAGGCACAGACCTCCGGCTTTCAGGGAGATGAGGAGGACCTTGAGACTAGGCTCCGTCTGGAAAGACACGATGATGTTGTTCCTCCCGTCTTGACATGCTCTGACGGGACGCCGCACAAAAAAAAAAAGAACACAAGCCCAACCCCCGTCCGTGAAACAATGGGCATACTGCCCAGCACCGTGGCCGCAGAGATGCCCTCCCGCTTCAGTCGCCACTCGATGAGCTCCAAGAAGCGCGTGAACTGGGAGAAGACCAATGCCTCCAAAGCAGCCAAAGTGGCCAATGGTGGCGGGCAAGTCGGTTGTACGGCCCCGGATGGTCTGACAAGACTGAATGTCAAAGGTCTCACGAAGCCTTGCTGGAGGGATCTGCCGCCTGCATCTTCTGGATCTCCTGTTTACTTTCAACACTGAAACACAGGGAGTCCGCGGATGGCAGGAGAACACGGCTCCTGCAGCAGGGCCTCGATTTTCGTGCTGCTCTGGAATTCCGCAGTCTTGATCTTCTGCATGATGCCTTTGCTGCACAAGCTCTGACACCAAGCCGCGACACCTCCGCAGCTTCTGCACCTTTTCGGCGTCCCTTTGCCGGTGGCTCCGCTCCTGCCGAGGATCGGGCACTGCTTCCGACCGCAGCAGCCCAGCACCCGTGCACACGTATAAGCATGCACTCGCGTGAATACGTATACACGGCGCCGAAAGGCAGCCCGATCTGCAGGCTACCCAACTACTACGGAAAAGAAGAGACATGGATGATGACGAGGATGATGAAAGATGATGACGAGGACGATGTTTATGAGGATAATGATGATGGTGATGAATAGATGATGTGGTACTTGTGGTTTGCGTCCCCTCCACTACTTGTGTGCAGCGTTGTGCTGCTCACTTGGTGCTCGGCTCACCCCTCTAAGGTCTGGATCTCTTTGGGGCCCTTTCCACACCGTTGTCGTAGAGGTAACCGGGCTCCAGTCCCAGCGTTCTCGCCACTCTGCCCTGTCCTGGCGGTTCCTAGCCACGCGGGCTTCTTCCGTCAGCGGTGCCCTCCGTCTTGCCTGGTTGCTCGGGTGCTGTGCTGGTGGAGGCCCGGATGGCTCCGCCGGCCTCTGCGACCCCCACGTCCCCGCTGGCTGCTCGCTGTCCCCGGCCTCGTCTTGGCTGTCGCGATCCCAATCTACTTCTTCCTCTTCGTGGGGAAGTTCGGTCCCCGTCTGTTCCACTCTGCCGCTGTCCAGTGGGTAGTCCTTGATTTTTCGTGGGCTCGTCGGCTGGGGATGTTGTTTCCTCGAAAACGTCTACCTGTGGGTGTAGTCCCCTCAGCTGCGTCTCGTCGTGGTGTGGAAGTCAGTGTTGGTTCCGCGGGCCTGGTAGTAAGTGTCGTTGTTGCGCTCCTCCCCAGAGTCCTCGGTGGCCTCGTGGCAGGCGTGCTTCGCGTCGGTCCCCTGAACGGCGCCCTGGTAGTAGACGTAGTTGTTGTACTCAGTCTCGGTCCTCGCGTGATGCTCCGGCTCGTCGAGGGCGCTCATCTCTGCTGTGCTGGCCCGCGGGATGGCTCTAGGTGCCCCTGCTTCAAGGGAAGTGAGTCCCCGTAGCACCCCTGTCCTGGCGGCGGGCATGGCTGTGTTGCATGTACTGGTTTGCTGTTGGCTCTCTTGGCTGTCGCGCGCTCCTTCTGCTGCCTCGGGGGGCTGGGGTGGTGGTGCTAAGGCAGCTTGCTCCTGCTGGGCAGTGCGTTGTCCTCTGCGGTGGCGAGCTTTGGTTGGGTTCGGTGCTTCCGCCTATTGTGCTTGTTCTTCTTCTTGCCCCGGCGGGGTCCATGCCATGAGCTCATTGAAGCCGGCATCCACATCGAAGCCTTCTTCTTGGGCTGGTGAATCCCCTGTTGCTGCCTCTGGTGTGGTAGGCCTCGTGGTCCCCGTCGTCGTTGGTGAGCTGGGTTTTGCACCAGTCGTAGAACTACTGCTACCGCTGCTGCTGCTGCTGCTTGTCCCCTGCTGCCTCTTCGCCGTGTTGGCTTGGCTGCGGCTGGTGGTTCTTGGCTGGTAGTAGGTCTCGCTCGCGGGCTCCGGGTTGATCGTGTAGTCGGCGGCGAGGAGGTTATAGTTTGTCCCCGTTTCTTCTTGAGGAAGGCCAGGGCTACGCCTCCGTTCATGGCCACACAGTAAGGGTCTTGGCGGTTGTGTTTCCATGGTGTTTTGGGCCCACTTGGCAGCGTAATCAAACTGCAGCCTGGCCCCGTTGCAGCTCCTCCATCTGGCGCGGGTGCCCTCGTCCACGTAGCGGAGTTGTAGAAGTCGGTGTTGGGGAGAAAGGTAGCGTCCCCGGACGAAAGGCTTTCCCCTACTCTGTGGGCGGTCGAGGCTCGAGCCAGGCACCGGACTCTAACAGTGCAGGGTGAGGGAGGGGCATGCAGTGTCCCCGTCTGTGCACTAACACCGGAAACTTTTTCCTCGAGGAACAGTACTCTAGAAAGGAGTTGCTTATTTACAGCAGCAGTCGTGGCCATTTGCACCTCGAAGTTGTCCCGCTTCTCCTTAAGCTCCTGGATGCACCTGCGGGCCTGGTGCACTTGGTCGTTGAGGTCGAGTTCCACCTGCTCGATTCTTCGGGTGGCCTGGGCAACTGCTTCGCGGACCATGTGAAGGGTTGTTTCGTCGAGCTGGTTTTGGGCTTTAGCGAAACATCCGTGTTCCCCCCCTTTGAAGTGCCTGGATGATGGCCACGGTCGTCAGCTCGTTGTCTTCGCGGGGGCTTGGGGAGATGTCCCCGTTTCCACCAGCTATGGAAATTTGCATTCACAGTCCGACTATCACGGTCATGTACGTGATGGTGTCCTTCACCCAGTGAAGCGCTCCCGGCGAAGGTCCCCGGAGAGGTAGGGGCCGAGGTTCGCCGGTCACTGTCTGGTAGTGGTGGGCAGTGTCCCGCTCTCGCCAAGCAGCGGTCACCGAACAGGAGTGAAGTCACCGAACTCCCTGCTCAAAGCGATGAAGAGGAAGATGCGTAGTGCTGCGGACTGGTGCAGGAGGGCGATGGCTGGGCACAGATCTCTCTCTCAGGCGCCGGGTTGCTCCCCTGGGTCTCAGGGCTCGAGGCTCGAACCACTCACGGCTTGAACCAAAATGGCTACGGCTACGGCTGTCTCTTTCTTTCGCCAGGGCTACGGACGAGGGTTTCCCCTCGCCCGCGCGCATCAAGCGCCCCCGTATGTTACGGGGCCAGTTGTGAGAGTAGCAGCAACGCAACAACAAGGCAGCCTGTCATCAAGTTCTCGACGGCTGTCTCTTTCTTTCCCCAGGGGTATGGGCTAGAGGGCCCCCCTAGGACGGCTGTCTCTCTCTCTCTCTCTCTCTCTTTGCTTTGCTTTGCTCCGGGGTTGAGGTGTGGGCAGACCCCACACCCCCGCGCTCCTCTCTCTCTCTCTCTCTCTCTCTGTCGCATGCATGCATGTGTGTGTATGTACATATGCACATGCATGTATCATCTGTCTATGAGTCTATGCGCGATGTGTATATGAATAGAACGGTAGATAACGAGTAGACTGGTAGATAGATGAATAGAGAAGTAAGTAGATAGATAAATAGAGAGAGATACGCAGATAGACAGATAATTAGACAGATAGGTTGATAGATAAATAAATAGACAGATAATGATAGATGATGGATAAAGAGGTCGGTCGATCTATTGACGGAAAGATGGGTGAAGAAGCATGATATACGTGCAATGATAGATAAGTAACCATAGAGCACTGCACAATGCCCATGAATTCTGTGCTCACATGTCTAGTTTGGACCCTGGCCATCACGTGCGAGTCGACATGCCTGTCTACAGGTCCATGTGTTCTACCGATCTCTCGCAACCTGTGGTCTTCTTGCTGAGTCCAAGCAAGGCCTAGCCGCCTAGCCTTAATCGCCTAGGTCGGCCGGCCCGCTGGCAACTGGCCTCTCGCCGCCGGTGCTTCGAAGTCTTCTGGGATGACGTCGTCCTCGCAGGGAGCTCTGTGAGTCGCCCAGACTGGCATCTTCAAGCCATGCAGTCAAGTCAACTCTGCTTCCTGCCCTTGAAGGAGTCGGAGACAGCACATACATGTTTTTTCCTTTTGCACTGCTTGTGGTGTTTCTCTGGCTGTTGTCGCAGTGTTCCCAACGGGAGTCTTACCGCCAACTTACCGCTCTTGCTCATTTTCGCTCCCGACGAAGACGTCCATTCAACAAAGCAAGCCGCGCAACAGCTCTCGCACGTCCCCGAAGACGAAGGGTATACGAAGGCCCAACTCGTTGCCACTCCGATCCATCCCGGCCTCCTCCTGCTCTTGATCTTCTTCCTGGCGGATGAAAGGCTTCAGTGTTAAAGCACGCTGCACAGCCCTACCGCCAGCCTGGGCCTCGGGATCTGCCCAGGTCATCGGGACGAAGCAGGTGGGGCCTAGGCCCAGGCAATCTGCAGGGGTTCTCTCGCCAGTGTGCGGAACTCTTGCGGCCGTCCCAGGCACAACCGACGCCACCGCTCGGCAGCTGCGGCGCCTGCTCCAGATACCTCTACGGATGTACATGTCGGGTGCTGGAGTGCTTTGTTTGGGTGGGCCCTAAGGGCGCGGCTCTTTTAGACAGTCCTTGTGGAAGCAATGCCCGCACGATGCAGTTGCTTGCTGACGCCGATCCTCTCGACAACCAAGCCGCTTTTCTGCAAAGCAGACCTTCCACAAAACAGTCAAGCCCTGCGTGCCCTGTTCAAGTGATGACGTGATACGAGTGTCGCTACTTGCACGTGTCCTCGATGTCGTCCTGGCACAAGGCACACACCTCTGCGACGCCTGAGCCGGACTCCCCGATTTGACTCTGATGCTGGGCACTCTCCAATTACTTCTGGGCCGGCTGCCGTGACTCTTGCTCGGCATCTTGCTCACGGATCCGGAATCCTCGAGATGCCAACACAAACCACCAAGATGCAGCTAGGTACCACCTCCTTCACCTTTCCGCGATGATCCAAGGGCCCAGCCGAGGCTTTTAAGGAGCCATGGACGATAAGGTACGGGTGGTCCACCTTCTGCGACAAACTCTAGCATTGCTGCACAGCTGCCGCGTGGTGATGGCGGTGATGATAGTCGGCGGCATGGCGACATGTTGTGGGGGCAACATGATAGCGATGACGACGGCAGGGCTGACACTGAAGCTGATGCTTTGGATGCTTTGATGTTCAGTGCAGCCATGACCCTGGTGAATGAATATGAAGAAAGCTAGGTTGCTGATAAAGACTGTGGTGATGATGAGCTTTGGTGGTGGTGTTGGTGGTGGTGGTGGTGGTGGTGTTGGTGGTGGTGGTGGTGGTGGTGGTGGCGGCGGCGGTGGTGGTGGTGGTGGCGGTGGCGGCGGTGGTGGTGGCGGTGGCGGTGGCGGCGGTG